CCCGGACGATCAGACTACACCTTCATAAACTAAGACTGCTTTGAAATACTTTTGAGTTATCAAATATTTTGTTTGAAAGGAAATTAAATTCCATTTAATTTTCCTCACTCTGTCCTTTACTTTAAGTGAAAATGTAGATGATAGAGGCTGGAGATGGTAAACAGTATAACAAATATAAATTTTCTCAATGTAGATCTTAAATTATACAATAAAAGAATTGATAGTGAAGTAATGTAGATCAATTTTTTTACACTGCAGTCATGTTGGTTTGACATTTTATAATTTCTCTATTAAGAGTAACATGAATTGCTTTGTGTATACTTTTAACCTAAGTTACTTCACCCTCTGTGGCATTGTCCACTGCTGATAACAAAAAAGAACTGGAAGTAGGACACAAAACCATGAAACTTCAGGAAAAGGAAGGTGAGTGAAAACAGACTCTGAAGTTAAGGTCTGGTCAAATTCAAATTGTTAAGCATGTATAACTAGCATGCAAGTATCGGCTTCTACTGAACTCGGTTCGACACCTTCCCATGTTGTTTGATAGTCGAGTTCTAAAATCAAGAAATCAAATTTCAGTAGCCAGTCTTCGCGCTTAAAAAGGCGTTTGAATACCTCAAGACGCTCTGATTCTGGCGAGCATTTAACTGAATTACTTCTTCAAAATTACCGTTTCAGGAGACCCCCTAAGAGTTCAACAGACCGACAAGGTAAAAAGGTTTTGATATTTTTGTTTTTTAGAATCGAGCTTGATTGAGTCCCTAGCGACTCACGATCAAATTTTAATTTTCCAGCCGAATAGTTTCCTCGGAAGACCAGTTGGCTGAGAATTTCGTTTGTTTGCTTGGTTTTTTTGTTTAGCTTATAACAGCGGTTGTTTTGTTTTCGCGCGCACGTGTGCACCTCTCGCTCTAAGCTCCATTTTTACACGATGAGAGGCACCGGAGAGCGAGCAGGTTTCCTCGAAAAAATGTCACCGAAGTAATCATATTACGCATGCTTAATCATGCTAGAATTATAATTTTCTCTGCGTGTCGTTTGTTTTTAAGATAGTATCAAAGATTTGTGACAGACTGCTAAGAAAAGAGTGGAGACCTTACGAGCTAGACCGAGTTCCTCAACTTGAGGGAATTTATGTCATCGGACAAGTGACAGAAATCTCGAAGTTTGGTATCTTTGGGGAACCAGAAGTTGTTTATTGTGGTCGGTCAAATGACGTTCATAGGCGACTGGGAGAACACATGCGCCAAAACCTAAGGATCGACGAGTTCGTGAAGGAAGAATTCAAGAAGAATATGGGGAGAGACTTACGAGTCAAATGGATTCATGAAAGAAATGACGATCGAATTGAAATCAAATATATACATTGTATTGCCGACAGGCTTGGCTATTGGCCGAAGTATAACATAAGGCGTTAAATTTCTTGCAAACTTTGTGTAACATAGTCAAGAAATGACGTTTTTCTTGGTACCGCCAAATCAAGCTATAGCCGAGCGGCTAAATTGTTAACCTCAGTGATGTCTTAATTAACAAATGAGCATTGTATTTTAGATATTCATTTTCACATGACAGTACAGTTTATTTGGCTATGTTTGATTCTGTCGTTATTATAATTAAGAGAAGTAACTGAATCAATGTTAGAATCGTTGTTTTAATTTCACAAGTGGAAACATTATTTCTTGCCTGTTGGACGACGTGAATCCAACAGGAAGAATGCATATTAATTATTTCACAAGTAAGCCTAGTAATGGCTTGCAGCCATGTACGGGACTTTTAGAACACTTTTACATTTGGTTTGTTCAGTGACATGCAGTAACACTGAATGTGATTTTAAAATATAGATTTTTTTCATATGATGACAAGTAAAATTTATTATAATGAGAGTCTTCTGTTATCTGGATACAATGCATGCTGGCACCTCGTGTTTACACGGATCGCCTTATTTAGTGAATATGACATGTTGCATGAGTTTCTTTATTGATTCAGCGCGCAGCAATGTAATATCTTGTAGCCGAAAAGGGGCTGGTGTTCTAAATGGGCGCGCGCACGTGTTAGAGGCTCATTTGTTTATTTAGCCAGTGAGGGCGACGGCCTCGTAACGCCATTTTGTTAAATCGTACAAGAGTTTGGTCGCATGTTTCAAATAAGATTTTTTCTATGAAGTCGCCGCCATATTGTTTGTGCAGTTCAGTGGAAGTCGAGTGTTTTTTTTTTTTCACTTGCTTAGGTATGCGAGTTTTCCTTCTTGTTTATATATCTAGCTGAAAAATAACTATGTCGACACAAATAAAAAGCTTTTCTTGTTCGGGATTTCTTGGGATGTGTTTGTTCAAGCGCAAATATTTCGAGGAAAAGTAAACGTCTGAAAGTGTAGCGTGTAAACAAACAAATTGACTTTGATTTTTTTATAACAGTCTGTTACATTTACAATGAATACATGAAGTTCATATATTTGAACTGCGGTATTAGATACGTATGATGTACGATCCTCGCAGTAAAGTGCGCTATTTATGCAATAGCGAAAATCAGACCTGGAAAAAAATCAGGCCTGTACGGGATTCGAACCACTGACCTCTGCGATACTAGTGCAGCGCTCTACCAATTGAGCTAACAAGCCAACTGGGAGCAGGCCGTTAAGTTGATTCGTAATAAACCCGTGATGATAAATCAGATACAGTGAATATAGGAAGTTCATATATTTGAACTGCGGTATTAGATACGTATGATGCACGATCCTCGCAGTAGAGAGCGCTATTTATGCAATAGCGAAAATCAGACCTGAAAAAAA